TCCTGACCATGCACAGGCAGGACCTGGCTACCAGTATTTAGTTCCCTTGCTCAGAAAAGCTGGAATAGCTGGTATTAAGTGGGATAGGTGCTCTTCCAAGCTGTGTGGGAGGTGTCACAGATTGGAAGAAATAGCGCGCAGCTCATTATCAAGCGTGGTTTCCTAGTCCCTTGCTTGTCTACGTTCTGGCTAGAGAGGCCTGTGCTAACCCTTTGGCTGTACAGCTGGATACACCATGGGCCTGCAGTAGCACGGTGAACGCTCTGCTGTTGCCATCTCTCTCTCCCCTCATCGATTGTGAGTTCACGGGCTGTGTAGGCTCCACAGCACTCGTCTCCTGGGCTGCCACACAGTAAGTGTTTAGTGTCTTTAGCGCGGAACCCGCATGTAGCAAGGGTCCGGAGAGATTTTCCCCTCCAGAGGACAGTGGCAGTGGGAAACCCCGCTAGGCTGTGGAGGATGTGGGTGGAAGTCAGTTTGGAAGGGTCTTCGGGTGTGTGGGTCTGTGGAGTAAGGTGACAAATGTCAGGGTGTTGGAGTGTACTATGTCCTTATCTTCTGGGACACTGGGGTGTTAGCCTTGGCTAGGCCAGCGATCTGGGGTGACTAAGGTTTCTATTGCTGTGAGAAAAACACCAAGTCCATAAGAACTTTGGGGAGGAAAGGGTTTAATTTCACTTCTAGTCCTTACCACAGTCTGTCATCCAGGGAAGTCGAGGCAGAAACCTGGAGGCAGGAACTGAAGCAGAGGCCAAGGAGGAATTCTGTTTACTGCCTTGCTCCCCAAGGCTTATGCAGTTTGTTTTCTTGTATCACCAGGACCAGCAACCCAGGAGTGACACCACACAGTGAGACCCTCTCACATCAATCACCAATCAAGGAAATGTGCCACTCAATCTATCAAATACTGGGGGTATTTTCTCATTTGAGGTTCCTTCTTCTTCCCAAATGACTCCAGCTTGTGTCAAGTTGGCATCAAACTAGCCAGCACATGGGGCACCTAGTCAGCAGGTTACTCTGGATAACAAGTCTTCTGAAACTATGACAGAGAGATACTAACACGCAGCTGACTGTGTGTGTGGTAGCCATGGTCTGCTCTCAGCATTGTGTGAAGACAAATTGGATGCAATGAGGGTTGATTGACAGGCTTGAATCCAGCACTTCCATTCCCTGTGAATGTGAATGTGGGAGAGTTGGGTGTCAGGAGGCGGGGCTAGGGAGAGATATCCATAAGCCCAGCAGTGGCCTGGACTATCAAGGCACCTGCTACCCCTAGAGGATATCTAGAGAGGTAGCTCACACCACGTCGACCTTGTAATGCTGATTGTGGAAGCTTTGTCCTCAGACATGCTCTGGCTGTCAGTGTGATAGAAGGGCTATCATTTGCCATATCCTCCCTGGGAAGTGATATTTTCCTCTGTGCAGAGGCAGTTGACGTCTGGGTGGGGTAAGCAAGGTGCTCGAGATGAGTTAGCTGATCTCTGGCAGACTCGGGACTCAAGGCCAGAGAGGCACTTTGCAATGATGCTGAGCTGCCTTTGTGTGGTAACTCAGTTAATTAAATCACTGCAAGGCTTTATTCCAGAACTGCTGTTGTGCAGCTTTTCAGCTTTCGCATCAACTGTCATCTGCAGTCATAAATATATATACATATCCGTACACTACCACACAATACACACTACACAGAGAGACACATACACATTTCACTTATGAATGCATATTTTTATCTACAGTAGCCGCTCTTCTTTAACCCATCCACTCACACCCCATTCCACCAAGCCACATAACCTTCCACCCATCCACCAATCCATCCACCTACCTGCTCACCATCTACTTGTCCATCCACCTGTGCACCTGCCCATCCACCTATGCACCTTTCCATCCACCTGTGCACCTGTCCATCCGCCTGTGCACCTGCCCATCCACCTATGCACCTTTCCATCCACCTGTGCACCTGTCCATCCGCCTGTGCACCTGCCCATCCACCTATGCACCTTTCCATCCACCTGTGCACCTGTCCATCCGCCTGTGCACCTGCCCATCCACCTATGCACCTTTCCATCCACCTGTGCACCTGTCCATCCGCCTGTGCACCTGCCCATCCACCTATGCACCTTTCCATCCACCTGTGCACCTGTCCATCCGCCTGTGCACCTGCCCATCCACCTATGCACCTTTCCATCCACCTGTGCACCTGTCCATCCGCCTGTGCACCTGCCCATCCACCTATGCACCTTTCCATCCACCTGTGCACCTGTCCATCCGCCTGTGCACCTGCCCATCCACCTATGCACCTTTCCATCCACCTGTGCACCTGTCCATCCGCCTGTGCACCTGCCCATCCACCTATGCACCTTTCCATCCACCTGTGCACCTGTCCATCCGCCTGTGCACCTGCCCATCCACCTATGCACCTTTCCATCCACCTGTGCACCTGTCCATCCGCCTGTGCACCTGTCCATCCGCCTATGCACCTTTCCATCCACCTGTGCACCTGTCCATCCGCCTGTGCACCTGTCCATCCGCCTGTGCACCTGCCCATCCACCTATGCACCTTTCCATCCACCTGTGCACCTGTCCATCCGCCTGTGCACCTGCCCATCCGCCTATGCACCTTTCCATCCACCTGTGCACCTGTCCATCCGCCTGTGCACCTGCCCATCCGCCTATGCACCTTTCCATCCACCTGTGCACCTGTCCATCCGCCTGTGCACCTGCCCATTCACCTATGCACCTTTCCATCCACCTGTGCACCTGTCCATCCGCCTGTGCACCTATTCATCCATCTGTGTACTTGCCCATCCACTTGTACACCTGTCTATACACCTGTCCATCCAACTGTGTATCTGTCTATCCTCCTGTGCACCTGCCCATCCACCTGTGCACCTATCCACCTGTGTACCTGCCCATCCACCTGTACATCTGTCTATCCACCTGTGTACCTGTCCATCCACCTGTGCACCTGTTCATCCATCTGTGTATTTGCCCATTCACCTGTGCACCTGTCTATTCACCTGTGTACCTGCCCATCCACCTGTGCACCTGTCCATCCACCTGTGCACCTGTTCATCCATCTGTGTATTTGCCCATCTACCTGTACATCTGTCTATCCACCTGTGTACCTGTCCATCCACCTGTGTACCTGTCCATCCACCTGTGCACCTGTTCATCCATCTGTGCACCTGTTCATCCATCTGTGTATTTGCCCATTCACCTGTGCACCTGTCTGTTCACCTGTGTACCTGCCCATCTAACTGTGTATCTGTCTATCCACCTGTCCATCCACCTGTGCACCTGTTCATCCACCCACCTATTTAATCAGCTACCTTCCCATCTATCTACACCCCTCACCACTTTACCCACCCCTCTACCAACTCTTCCTGCTCCTAACAGACATTTTTTTTTCCAGGTTTCCCCCTATGCCCCAGGACACCATTGAGTCCTGTGACTGCGTCAGTAATGACGTAGCCCTTACTCTTGCATGGTCTGATGGGGGATGCTACAATTAGGATACACACAGTGATGAGGAAGGTGCTGCGGGAGGACAGAAAATGGACGACTAGTCCTGAGCAGAGCAGGGGGGCTGGCCTGGGCATGGGGTTAGTGACCTCTGGTGAGACCCTCGGGAAGGATTTTCTCAGAGACAGGAAACAAATTTCAAGAGGCTCAGGGATGACAGCTCAGTAGGCTCGTTCTTTCTTTAGCTAAAAATCAATGAGAGGAACTTGGACAAAGAAGCGGTTGTCTTGGCCATCACTTGCTGTGTCCTGAGTTCTTGCTGTATGGTTCAGTCTTCCAGGCTGTGGTGGTTCGGATTCTTGGTTCCAATGGATGTGGTAATGGCCATTTACCAAGACTCCAGGGGGTCTTGGTCTTCACTGGCCCTGGTGGTCTTTATGGCACGGCAGGTTATATTTCTGCCAATAACTGACCTGTATATCTGATGTGGAGAATGTCTCTTCCCTTTCCCAAGAGTCACGTGGACCCTTGCTGACCACTTTGTCTGAGCCCAAGAGGCTGCTGGTCTCTGGGCAGATGTTGAGCTCTTCTCCAAGGAGCTGGGAGCAGCTGTGGCTGTAGCAAGAGCTCAGACCGAGCCTCAGGCCCGTGCTCTGCATTTCCCTCACAGTCCCTGGTGGCATCTCCGTGTCACATCCCCTCCAAGATCAGGGGAATGTGTACCAGCCCAACTTTAATTAACTTACGATCCCAGCCAGTTTCATGTTAGCAGATCTGTTTGGATCTGGGTGTAATGGGCCGTGTCATGCCTTAGAGATGGGGCAATGACTTACGCCGTGTCACTCACTGGCTCCTTGTGGAAATTATTAATAAATCAGTAATTCTGTCTGTGATGATGTTATTGTCTTTATAAATATTTAATTTACCTTCAGGTGCTCACATTTTTTTCCATCTTTGCCTGAAACTCAGCTGACTTGGCTCTCTGAGGCTCGGCTCAATAGATCAATTAACAGTGAGAAAAGCTCTCTCTCTCTCTCTCTCTCTCTCTCTTCCTCCTCTCTCTCCTCTCTCTGTCTTTCTCTGATTTGGCTCCAGGGTGGGGGCTGGGAGTCAAGCTGAGAGGATGCAGTTCTTTGGTGAGGAAGCTGAAAGACATCCTGTTTCGGAGAAGCCGCGTGCACACCGAGACCTGTTGCTGGCGCGTGTGTCCCCATCTCCTTCAGATGAATGACATTTGGGGTCTCAAAGGGTTTCTGATGTTTTCCTTCCACAGAGAAATATTTTTGTCCTTGTCACTGACTCCTCCTTTGAAACCCAGGCTTTGATGGTGGCTGTTTGGCTGGTTGAGTGAAAAGGACTCAGGGAATCAAAAGAGAGGCTGAGTCCCGGTCAACAGTTTTTCTAGAAGCATCCGAGTTCTGGCCTGGCCACGATGCACAGCAGCTGAGAAAAATAACGATTTTTCTTTTTTTTTTTTTTCTGCTTCTCAGGGTCCAACATGAACTAATTGTTATCATTATCTTTTTATTTTTCTGTTGCAGGAAATTGCGGCTTATTTAATAACATTTGAGAAGCACGAAGAATGGCTAACCACATCCCCTAAGACAAGGTAATACCCCAGCTCTCACAGCTTTCCAACTCTGTATGGTGAGACTCTATGATTGATTTTTTTTTTTTGTGGATTACCGGGTTCGGTCATTCAGTGCAGGGTAATGAGTTGGCAGTGCCCTGTGGTGCCCGATGGCCTGTGAAGGGGAGCACTCATTAGTTGGTCCAAGACAGTGGTGGTGAACGCAATGAGGAGGATTAGACACTGGGCAACAGCTGTCGGAACTTTTCACGGGGTGGCTCTTGGCTCCATCCCTCAGCCGGGCACTCAGAGCTCATAGGACAGGTGCGGCGCAGGGGGCAGTTTATTTCGGAAAGGCACCCACATGCCATCCGTGGTGCATACGTTTTAAAAAGGAAAATGAACTTAACGGCTGCTTGGATCTCAGTGTGCTTTATACATCAATAAAGTCAGGTTATTCTCGATTGCTGGGAGAGAGAGCTCCCAAATCAGAAGCAATGGCTAAATATTACACAGTAAATGTCCTTGAACCCACTAACTGCCACAAACACTTAACTTCTCTTGCCACCTGGGACTGGAGAAAATTGGTGAAAATATAGCCGATGTGTGTCCTGCCCACGGAAGTGATGTTATTACCAGTGAAGGATGGCGGGCCTGGGACTTGGGGTTCATTTTGAAGACAGTTTCTTATTTCCTTCCCAACTCTTTAAGTTTTTATTTTTGATATGTTTCATGCTAAACCATCAGAGATCTGCAGGCATTCTCTTCCAATTGCTACGACGTTTCTATTAGCAGTGACAGGGCCAGGTGCTTGTGTTAGCGGGAAGGTGGTTGCAGGGCACTGACTGCAGGCTGGAGGCTAAAAGGTGGGGTTCTCAGTCTGCGACACCAACGAGCACAGAAGTCTGTGGCATTAGAATGAGGATTCTCTGCACTTGGTCCTGAGTTTGGCCCATCTATCCCCTCTCAGCCATGTTGGAATGAGTTCTGGCGTGTAGAATGTTTCTTCACGAGACCGAATGTCTACTTCATTCAGTGTCTTGTTGCTGTGGCAAAACACCTGGCAAAAAACAACGTAAGGAAGCGAAGGCTTATTTTGGCTCAAGGTTTGAGATTAAATGGTTCAGGATGACAAGGAAGGCGTGGAGGCAGGAGGGTGAGCTGCTGGGCCGCAGTGAGTCTTCAGGAAACAGATGAATGCTGATGCTCAGCTCGCTTCTCCTTTATTTCTTAGCCCAGGACTTCTGCCCCTGGGATGCTACCACCCACAGTTAAGGTGTGTCTTCCCTCTTCCATGCCGAGAGACAGACCCAGAGATTGTCCTCTTTGGTGATTCTAGATTCTGTTAGGTTAATAATATTAGCCACCATGCTCCTTGAATCCAAGCAGGGAGAGAGAGCTATGTATGGAATGGAATGAAAATCTCCAGAATATGGCGGTTTTTGCACACATGCATGCATGCTGTGCCCACAATGCTTTAGAATGTTGCAAGGCTGGGATTTTCCCTTACATTTCAGCCCAGAAATTTGGGGATCCCCACCGAGAAGAGGATATAGCTTGTGGTCATACTGGGACTCTGACTTTTTGGAGTATAATTGATCAAGAGACTTCTTGTCATGGGGTATAGGGACTGCAAAACAAGAGAAAGAATTAAGGTCCCGTGTTGATAGATTTGTATTTGAGGCTTGGTGCTGTCACCTGGTAGCGCTGTGACAACTATGAGGATCTGTTAAGTTCTTTCAAAAGCCCCACCCCCTCTCCCTCTCTCCCCCTCCCCCTCCCTCCTTCCCTTTCTCAGTTCCCCAAGCGCCTCCTCCCTTTTTCTTCTTTATCCATCCAGTCTGTCTTCCTGGGATCATTAAGAGCACCCTGGGGCAGGGAGATACCTTCTATGACCCTGCCTGGCAGGTGTGCGTGTCCATGTCTGCCACAGGCTGTCACTGCCCTTCTCTGTGAGTGGTGTCCCCCAGCCCGCTGGTGGCCTGGCCTGTGGAAACATCGCCAGGATTTCCTTCCGGCTCTGGGAGTCTGAGCTTCTTCGCTCCAGGCAGAGTGAACGCACGCACGGACTCCTGGTCCAGCCTCATGCACACACCGTGTTTACGCCTGAAAGCTCCTGGTCCCAGGAGGACAAGTTGCCCTGGTTGTTCAAGGACCTTCCTAAATTAGTTGTTGAGTTGAGTTTGGTTTCCCTCCCCCACCATTCCCAGGATTGAAATTAATTGGTGCAGTTAACTGCTGAGTTCCTACAAGCTGGTCTCCTGATAGTAAGGAATTAATGGCACCAATACTCCGCTGAATGGGAAGGCAATGCAAGTTTTGTTTGCAGCTACTGTTAATTTCATTTTAGAAAATTAATAAGAATGAATTGCACCGTTGACATTTATAGAGTTTGCTAATAAAATGATACATTGTTTGTGTGGAAGAATCCTTATTAAATTAATTGTTGTAATCAGTCCACATATAGATGTTGGTATAGGAACTGCGGAGGGACCCACTGCTGTCTCTGAGGCTTTCTGGGGTTCTAGGGATAAGCGTTGTCCTTGCCCATCTTAATTATAGAGAAGGTTCTGGAAGCCCCTTACACCTGTTCATAATGAGGTGTGCTTCAAAGATGGTCCCAGGTCAGGGACCTTGGGGTGGCAGTGCGGCCGCCACAGGACCAAATGAGGAGCACTCAGATGGCCTATGTTGTGCTATAAGCAGGTGGGCCCTTAAGCCTGAAAACTCAACCTTGGGGACACCTTCGTTTGACACTTGCTGTGTGCATGGCAGGATCACACTATCATTTGGAGACTGCAGGGATTCCATTCCACCCTCCCCACCCTGCTGTGCAGATTTACGAACTTGGAATAGAGTCTTCTCCCTGCCTAGAATGTTATCCTAGCTCCTCCTTCAGGCCTTGGTTGGGCTGCCCCCTTTCTCTGTGAGGTGTTTTAGGAATACTGCCCATACCTGTCCTGGGCCCCATTCCCTCTTCCTTGAGCTGGTTTTCAGAGTGCTTGGTGTCACTCGAGTTTGTCTATTTAGTGAGTTATCCCTTATCTGCCTCTGCGTATGTGGTAATGGGGGAGTTTTCAGTTGGCTTTGTTCTTAGGTAACCCAAATACCCGGCACTCTCCCTGTGTGTGCACCTGTGGGATGAGCAGGAATGGGTGAAAAGTGGGAGTCTGAGTACCGCGCCCCAAGAGCCCTGGCCTCTCTCCGTGTTCTTCTGTCTTGCACGTCCAGCCTCAGGCCTGGTCGGCACATCAGCACGGCACCCCGTGGCACTTGCTATGGGTTAGCGGCTGTGTGGCTCCGAAGCTAAGAGCACTTTCTGTTCTTCCACAGGATGCAAGTTTGGTTCCTGGTGACTCGCAACCACGGAGGATCTGAATCCTCTTCTGGCCTTGTGAGCACTCTCATAACCACCCACCCCACCCCCAGTCTTCAAGTCTGCCCCATAGCTCTGCTAGGCGGGAAGGGCTGCAAGCCTATGGGATTTTCTGAGCTTAATGGCACTAGAACTCTTCATCCTCTCTAGACGTAGTCCATGGTGACAAGGAGTTAGAAGGAAGCCTTGGAAGTCATTCTACTGTTTCTCAGTAGCAGCTCGGAGACAGAGGTGCCAGTCTGGGCATCCCTCTGAGCCAGTGGGTTGACTGTGCCAGCCAGGCAGGCCTCCTAAGCACTTCTCCACCCTGAGGCACAGACAGTGCAGGACCAGCATGGTGGGAACAGGCCCTGCACAACACAGGGTGGGGAATAGAATCAAGGAGGGCACGATTTAGAAATTCTGATAACTTCTTCCCCGTTCCCTGGGAAGCATACAATCTTCCCCGTGAGCCAGGATGGGTGAGGCTGCAGATAGACGTGAGAGCCTTCTCCTGGGAAGAATCCTGTTTATGCCAGTGAGAAGGGAGCTACAGAATGCTATTAGTTATCTAATTAATTAATTGGATTGTTATAGATAGCGCATTCACACCAACACATAGGCCTAGTAATAGAATTTTCCTATAATGAACACTACTTGCTTTTAGTCAGTAAGCAGTAAAACTCCGAGTAGAAGGAGGGAGGGCAGAGAGAGGAGAGAAAAACCTGGCAGCAAGAGAATGTGGAGGCTTTGGGGGCTCATTTTATCCTTTCAGGTTGTCTTGACCTCAGGTCCATGAGTGGGCATTTTGTCTCAAATGAGCTTCCTCCTGTTGACCACTGACGTGGATTCTCTCTCCAGCTCCCCTGGATGTCATATTGTTGACCACTGATGTGGATCCTCTCTCCAGGTCCCTGGATGTCGTATTGTTGACCACTGATGTGGATCCTCTCTCCAGGTCCCCGGATGTCATATTGTTGACCACTGACGTAGATCCTCTCTCCAGGTCCCCGGATGTCATATTGTTGACCACTGACGTGGATCCTCTCTCCAGCCCCCCCCCCCCCCCCGGATGTCATGTTGTTGACCACTGACGTAGATCTCTCTCCAGGTCCCCGGATGTCATATTGTTGACCACTGACGTGGATCCTCTCTCCAGGTCCCCGGATGTCATATTGTTGACCACTGATGTGGATCCTCTCTCCAGGTCCCTGGATGTCATATTGTTGACCACTGACTTGGATCCTCTCTCCAGCCCCGCTGGATGTCATGTTGTTATCTCAACTGTCCTCTGCCTCTTTCCCTCAGTCACACATACCCTGGTTTGCACCATCTGATGTCCCTGGTTCTCCCAAGGGTCACTTCGTATTTCAAAGACAACTAAACTCTGCCCTGCTCTTCCCTGTGGCTCTTCTTTGGTCCCCTGCCTCTGGCTAGTCACTCACTGGGCCTACATTGCAAACTTACCATTGCCCTCTGCTTTCTGTAGGCTCAGAACTCGCTGTTCGTTCTTAGGTGTGCCGGGCATTGGGATCTCTCTGTGTGCTTCTGCTCAGGGATGTACGCCTTCACCATTAACCTTCCCATCGTCACCTTGTCTAGCCTCAGATTCTACCTGAGAGCCTTGGAGACTTCCTAGGAGAGCAGGTCCACACTAGCTAGGGTTGTTTCCTGGTCTCAGCCT